CAATCACCCTGCGTCAGGGACCCAACCATTTACCCGAGGCATCGACGACATGATATGTAGCGACTGGTGTCGAGAGACCTTTCTACCCAAGATTTAATAGCATCTTAAAGTGCGGTTGAAATTTCGCCGGTGGTTGTGATTGCCACAATTCGACAGGCTCACCCAGACACATCAATTACGGCAAGGGATACGCGAACCACAAGGACTCAGATCCGCGAACTGCCTTGGCTAATGATACTCCAACTGAGCGGCTTTTAAAGAGGTTGTCTAGACCCAATTTCTTTTTCAAGAACGAGGTCGATCCAGAGACGTTGGATTGCGATACCTCGTATGGTCGCATCCTGATATTAAACAGTATTACAAGTGGAACTCACACGCTTGATCATGGCATGTACTTGCAGACTAATATGTTCGACCTTCCTTGCTGAACATCATTGCCATGACCAATATGAACACGATTTTATCAGTAGCGCAGTGGTGGCTCCCAGGTGACCCCGAAGATGATTTGGTTTGGGATTTACAGCAGCTACACGTCATGATAACGGATAACGAAGTATCCAACCCATCCATCATCATCACAGATCGCGATCAAGCCTGTATAAATGCGCCAGATCGTCTGCTCCCCGACGTTCTGTCTCTCTTTTGTCACTGGGATATGTATCGCAACGTTTTGGCTAAAGTTTGAGCATATTTGTTAGGGTTGAAAATGATAACCCAACTCAAGGCCAATATATCTCGTGCTTGGCACAAGGCACTAACGAATTTCCTGTCGAGCGAAGGGTTCGAAAAACTATCGTGTGAGTCCTGTGTGTACATTCGGCGAAGCAGAGGTGAACTGGAGATCGTAGCAATTTACGTCAATGATCTCCTGCTTGTATCCAAGTCAAAAAAGGCGATGCCAACCCTGAAGAAGGTAATGGGGGGGGGTACATTCAAGATGGGACCCGTGAGTTTCTTACTTGGGCTTCGTGCGACTCGAGATAGAGGGGATCGTAAGTTGTGGATATCGCAAGCAGCAAATGCTGACCAAGTTATTCGGCGACACAACATGGACCATTGTGCTGGTGCAGCAACTCCGACCGGAGCTGGAAAGAAATTGTCTAAGCGGAAAATTCCGAAGACAGAAGAAGAGATAGCAGCAATAAACTTCCGACAGGCAGTAGGCTCGCTGATGTACCAAATGATCGGTAGGCGACCGGACCTCGCATACTCAGTTCAAGACGTGAGTCGCTACCTTAATGGGTTTGGTGCATCACATTGGGAAGCTGTCAAGCGGTGCATCCGATACACGAGACTTCGGGCTGGAACTTGGAGGAGACTCAGTAACACTTCGAGCGTATACCGATTCCTACTATGCTGCAAACGAGGACGACCGGAAATCGGTGTCAGGCTACGTGACCTTGATAGGAGACTCTACTGCTACTTGGAGTTCTCGAAAACAACGGATCGTAGCTCAGTCGACAGTCGAAGCTGAGTACGTGGTATTGGCTCACTGTGCCCATGAAGTGCTATTTCTCCGTCAAATGCTGCGTGAGCTCGGATTTCCTCAAGGCCCTACAATGATCAGTGACAATCAAGCTTGCATTGCAATTGCTGAAAATCCGACTCACCATTCCCGGGAGGAACATATTGACGTGAGATCACTTTATTAGGGAACACGTATTGTTCAAGGACGTTGCAATCTCGTACGTGACATCGAAGGTGAATATTGCCGATGCGATGACAAAAGGGCTGGCCAAGGTCAGGATCGACAGTCTTCGTCGTGAAATGGGTGTAAAAAGTGCTGACGGACTTACTGGAGGTACAACGGAGTGATACGGGGTCTTTTCGAGAACAGCAGCAGCGATCAAGATGTTCGGACAAGCTGTGGCGAGACTGCTTCGAGGTTGTGTCTGAAACTGAGACGCTGGACTTGCCTGTAGAAACGGATGACCAGGTTGTTCACGCACTCGTAGCCTGTTCAGGATGGTTTGGCCAATGAAAGATGTGCGCCCGGTCGGATCTCGTCAGAGACCGCATTACGAATCGAGTGTATATAGGCACATTGTGGACCAATGTAAATCAACGATGGAAAAGCGAACTACACGGCAGCCACGACAAGCCGCAGCCGATTCAAGGGTGTCTGCACTGCGGGGGAATGTTGAACTTCGACATTGAAGTAGTCGTTACAATGTATTGCAGTGCGCACAAGCTGACTAGGGTTGTTCGTATATGCTAATGCTGTCCAGGTACAGGTCATGAGTGCTTCCGAGACTGTGTATTCTGTTGGTTGCTATACTTTACAGTCCAGTAGGTTACACATGCCCTGCACCAAGCACCTTAAGCGTAAAATTTACGGAGTACAGGGCCACGAAGCGCGTCTGTAAATGAATATTAAAAGTGCATCTGGATGGGACACACCCAATTATTTGCGATCAACGTTTGTTTTTAGCGTTCGTCTTGGTTGCTGCCATTCTCCCATTCCCTCATGGCGGCAACTAATGCGAACACGAAGACCCGCAGCAGCGGCAGCTGTATTGGGGATAGGCTATGCAATACGTACAAGCATATACCTGCCTCACCATACTCAAAGATGAGGAATCAGAAAAAAGAAGTTCAATTATAGCAAAACCGATATTAAGAAGAGGTCTTTTGAAAAGCGCAACGCAGAAATCGACAAAACTATGGGTACTTCCTTCGTCGAAAGTGGGGGATCTCGCTGTCCTATGATTAGCTGAGCAAGGTTCTCGAAGCTCTTTTGGCCAGGATTCCTGGCGCAAAGGTTGACCCTCTAGCGACAACAGAGGCTAAATTGAACGCTCGTCTACAATCTCTTAATCACTAAACAATGACTTAGTTTTTGAGCTGCCGTCACATACATGCTCTCATTTGTACTTCTAAATCTAAAAACAAGTTTGTCTGATCAAAATATGAGCATTATAGTGTAATGTATATGAAATATTTGTAGATCATAATAATCGATTTTATATAAAACCAAAACGGTACTTAGTTTCACGTAAAGATTCTTAACCACAGAAAACTGTCTGAAAACACCAAAATCGGGCTGAATTGACTAAACGTTGTCTGGCGGTGCTGAAAAGATCCTGAAATCCATTTAAGAAAACCAGATTCATTTTTCAGTTTAGATGAGTATTACAATGAAGATTGGTGCATTCTCGAAGTTTATCTAAAAGTATCTTGTTTATGTATGATTTCATATATTTTCTCTTGTCCAGTTGCATTAATCAGTATGACCACGTCCCGCGTACCCCCGAGTTCTAGGAGGTTGGTAGTTATGAAGGAGTGGCTGGTCAAGGATGTTGCCTGGTTACGCGTTGCTGTTCGAGTTTGGAGTCAGCCTTGTTGTGAGAGAAGGAAATTGTGAAGTAAGAGATGAAGCGGTGCGGACAGGGGCCGTACTAGTGATGAACAGTTGTGTAAGAGTATTATTCGAGTTTGGCGTTGAAGCTGGGTTGTTTCTGTCGGCTCGTTCAGCGTATGTAGGTTCCCATACAGTACCTGAAATTTCGTGAGCTTTCTTGTGCTTTTCTGCTCGTTTTCTGGCTTTTGGCTGGCCCTGGCGCTGGATATAAATCCTTGCTTCACATTATTTGGGATGGCCACACCGGGTAAACCAGTGCTTGTGAAATACCTCGTAGTTAACTTTCGCTGACGCTCTGATTTGGTGGTGTATCATGGCCACATGACCTTCCATTTGGACACCGGAAACACCCGTACAAGACTCAATAACTTCTTGTTTACGAACAGCTCTATGGGCTTGTTTCAACAATTCAGCGGTCTTATTAAGTTTGTATCTGCTGATAAAAAAGACGACTGCAGAGTACCGGAGGTCCTGAAGAATATGAGAAACTCTAGTAACGTCTCGTTCAACTGCTTAGGCGACCTTTTGATACCGTATCGTCAAGGTAGTAATTTCATGAATCATACTAATAGATCTCTATGTGAGGATTTCAACAAGGCCTTGCACTTTGAATCGGTGTCCTCAACGGGAGAGGTATCCCGGTACCCAAAGCGGAAGTACCGAAATGGCCAACAGCGTACCAGCTTCGTTTTATATTTCTACCAAAGTTGGGTTAGATAATCCGCAAATTCCACGCTTGTTGAGCGATTTTAACGCTTCGTGTATCAATTCCGTCTGGGTGGGGGGGGGGGGGGGCACGGCATCATAATACAGATATTACAGATCCATGATCTGATTAGCAGCAACCGTTTTTACATTCAGGAACGACACACGATGCGCACAGTAATGACCAAAAATGACCAAATGTACCTCTACCCGTTGTGCTCTTGTTGGAACTTGTAATGTCGCTACAAAATCAATACTTGCGAACTAAGCAATCTTTTGATCGTATATCAAGACATCCAACACTCAATGTTGGACGCAGGTGAAAGTTCCCCGCGAGTGGCAAAACTGGCAGCAGAGATGAAAGTCTTTGTACAGAATGAAATTACGATGTATTCTGGTGTGACTCCCCATGTCGTGTTTACCCGGTTGTGTCCCCAGTTGCGCGGGCCACCACCGCTTGAAACACAAGTACAGCGATACATGAAGCGTTGGCGAGCAAAACATCGAGATGACTCGATGCTACCGGTTGTTGAAATTTGTGCACGATCAATGTTCGAGTTGAGCCATCAACCGGCTCAAGACAGACATGGATTACTCGTGTTTTGTTACTCTATTTACGAAAATGGTAATCTCGTTCCAAACATTGGAAATGCATCTGACGAATCACCTTTTCGAAGCTCACGTGCTATTCACTGCTGGAAGCGTATCCTACAGTGCAGGAAGACCCTCGCTGCATCGCTATTCTTCACGTAGATAGCACACACAACTTGGTACGACAACGTTATAGCGTGTTTATCCTTGGATATTCGGACTACTGTGGACATTTCTTCCCACTGGTGTATTACTGTGCAGGGCTGAAGATGTTGCTTAGTGCCTATCGTACCTAAAACGCGTGATGCTCCAGCTTTTTGGAACTAGATTTTCACCGCAATACATGATGACTGACGCTGACAATAGTCAGTACAATGCATGCACCTGTGAGTTATCCACCACCACGATTCTTATGGCTGGTTTCACGTTTGTCAGAACGAGTGGGAAAAAAAATCCCGAAAACTACCCAAACAGCAGCGAAATCGAATATTTAGTGATTTGAACGACCTTCACTTCTGCAGATCAGAGAACGAGTTTTGACCTGAAGAAAGCAAATATCGTGAATAATTGGAAGACTATTGGCGAGACCTCTGCTCGTTTTCGAGCTGTTGCTAAGAAGATTCGCCGCCAGTGGTTCGACAACCCTCGCTTCTTCAATTGGCAAGCATTCCACACACCTCCAGGTTACGCTACAACTAACAACCCCGTGGAGCAATACCACCGGAAGGTTAAATTGGTGGATAGTACGGCTCGCGCTACGCCAATTGAAATGGTGCAACTCTTGGATCAATCGCGCATCGGTTTTATAGCGAAAACTACAAAGTTCTCGAGTATTACGCAAACATCAAAGCGATTAAAAACACACTACAACAAAATTAAGAAACTAGGCGATCTAAGTGCAACTGTGCTTCTTCTCGTTGGAGATCTACGAAGTCAATTCGTGTTAGTGAAGCAATCCATTCTCGAAACGAGTGTTGCTACTGCTATTGGGTCTACACGACTGACGGTGTTGCCAACTCACACGGTATCAACTTCAAGAAAAACAAAGCCGCCAAAGAAAAAGAAGAAACCTGAATTTGATGCCGATGACGTTAATCATCCTATTAAGTCTTCACACACGCTGCGCATGCAGTGGGAGGGCATGCCGGAGGACGGGTGGGTAGTCGATGCGACGACTAGGGCGTGTCAATGTCGCTTCCACAGCAAGTATAGTTTATGCCCTCATATAATTGAAGCAACAAAGATACTAGGACTCCTTGTCCTGGGTTTAAAACCCCAGCCGGTCGGTTCCAAGAAGTTCGACTGTTCGCCCTTCTTCCGCAATCGCTTTAAGTCGTCTACAAAGCGTCAGTTTCTTCGATACTCCTGTATCCGTACGCTGTCCAAGCGTTCCAGACTTTGAAAATGCTCCTGTACAACGTATGCAAGCTGTAGAATCGCATTGTATTCGACTCGAGCGTCCAAGATCAGCACCATGTCGCACTTTATGTAACGACGTTCCCGATCCAGACAATTTAGCCACCCATTGTAGGACTTCACGTAGTCCGCCTTCTTTGACGCTCCGCCAGTCATGTGAGCATACAAAGCGTCGTAGATACTAACCACGAGAAGGAGTATTGACGTCGCATTATATATCAAGACACTTGCATTCCTCGATGCCAGGCTTTCAGTGTTTTAGGTCTATCCTACAGTGTTTTAACCCGGCTCACAAAGTGGAAGCACCCAACCTAGCCCTCAGTGGTCTAGCCTAGATTTACAGTGTTTTAGGCCAAATCGTACAGTGTTGAAGACTGCCCCTCGGGTGATCTTCTTTCTAGGTTGTGCTCGAGAGCTGCTCGGCGAAGCATCTACGACGGGATGACAGACGAAACGGTAAACCACATGCCCAACACATCACCAAGTTTGTTGTTTGAACAGCTTCGCGAGGGTGATGTTCGTTGCGATAATGCAAATGCAAGCCTATCGACTTCTGAAGTCCGATATACAAGGATAAGTGCTGAGCATAGCAGGGGTAGACGATTCCCCGTAGTGACAAACAACGAATCTTTTTCGCGGTACAAGGGCGAATTTTGTGCCCATTTAAAGAGTCTGTGCAAAAAAACTGTGGCGGGTTTTTCGACTTTACAAAAGGTTATCTGGTCTGATACAACAAAGCTTATACAGTACGATGCAAAATCAACTAGTCATACTTTAAACAAGTGTTATTATTGTAGCTGATTCCATCAATAATAACTGATTCCATCAATAATAATATAGAAATTATATTATAATTTCTTCAATTATTTGTTATAGGAGATGGTCCAAAACGGTTACAAAAGCGACCTTTTAGAACGTAGTCTTGTTTAGTGCAAGAGGCTCGCGAAAGGGTTAACCATAACTAAGTTAAAAAGGATTGTTTTTCTTTATTGTAACGAGCACGCATGTTAGGATCTTGAAAGCATTGATCTAGTTGGAGACCTCACCTTTAACACTGGCTATTGTGGTGCTATTATGCATATCAATATTCACGCAAAGAAGCTTAGCAATTCGAAGTTAGTGGGTCCGTGCAGTTGTGCTGGGGAATCAGAATCAGCTTGTACGGCAAGAATAGATGCTCAATATGGTTTGACGCTGGCGGAATCAGTTTTACTTAGTTTCCGATGGGCCAGCATTCAGCTTCTTCGATTCTTCTAGGGAGCTCTGCTGTGTAGCCGCTCGTTCGATTCTTGCGCGTTATTTGACCGTCAGATGGCCGGTCAGACTGGAGTATCCAGTGTGCAGCAATGTACATGAGCATGACACTGCTTATATCACGCGTGTCTGGCACTCACGTAGAAATAAGAAGCAATGCTGTAGCTCATCGTTGTCGAGTGAAGAAGAAGGAAAGTTTGTACACCATGTAGAAGCAAGTGGTAAGGTAAGAAAGTGAACAAAGCATCAAGAAAATGAGCTTGTGATTTTGAAGCCTCCAACCACCCTTTGAGAGCAAGTTAGGATCACCAGGAATCGGGTAACATCTCTGTATGTCTTGTTGTCAACAACTTATTGCATTGAATGTTGCTTGCATAAAACAATAATAAATCATTTTCGTAGAAATCTGCCGTAATAGATGTATGAACATGTTGTTTTCGACCTCTTCTGAACATCGTGTGAGGTCTTCCAGAAGCTGGGATCAGTTGGAGCTAGATTGCCAAATTTTATTTCAAACGTAATTAGATAGTGTTTTTCATAACCGAGAAAACGATCTGTTGTACCAAAATTCTGGTACATTACAAAAACACCATCGGAACCAAAGGTAGGCAGACCAGTCGCGTGTCTCTTCCCCCGGTCTTGTGAGGCTATCAAGCCCCCGTCAGTTCCGCTTTCCCCGCCCTCAGACCCAACAATTAGTATGAGCCTCGTGACGCGCGCATTCGCTCCCCTCCGCTCGTCGGCCCGCGTGGCTGTGCGCAGCTTCGCCTCCACGGGCGGCATCCCCGACGACCTCGAGCACGCCGTGGGTCGTGAACGCCAGGAGCTGGAGGCCGCCGAGATCGGCGTGACCCAGTTCAACCGCGACCCTCTTGAGTCGGACGAGAACCAGGGCAACACCAAGGACGACCCGATCCTCGTGCCTTCCTTCAACGACGTGCGCACCGTGGGTGTCTCGCACAACGACGCGTCGTACCTGTACTGGTTCAACATGGAGAAGGGCAAGGTGCACTACCTGCCGGAGATCGAGAAGTACTTTATGCTGTACAACCCAGAGGAGCTCGCCAAGCTTGTCAAGGAAGTGGAGGCCAAGCAGCAGTAAACGCCTTCGTTTCCTCGTGGAGGCAAACTCGTCCGTCAAGCACTCTCGTCTTCTTACCCAAGCTTCATTCGGTGGAGGTGCTTAGAGAGAGAAAGCCAAAACCCAGTGTGACAAATGAAAACCCAACAGAAAAATGATAAACTATTTTCCCTTCGTTTTGGACGTGACATTGTGGTAAGTGGCTACGACTTGCTCACCTGTTCACTCCGTTCTGGTGGTCTGGACAATCGTTTGCTGGTGTACAGTACTGCCTCGATACTTAGCGAGGAAAAATGCGCTTGCTGGCACGTTAAGGCGTGACCAGCAGCGTTGAGGACGGGACTGCAGACGAGGTCAGCTCGGCTGTATCGGCCAGTCCTCGAGATGAGCTCCAAGGTGATGTTCGTCTATATTCCTCTCCGCTCCTACGACTAGTCAAAATCGAAATCCTACAACCCGAGCGATACGGGACAGCCTCAGGGATGCAACGTGAAAACTGACAGCGGACTAATACATCGCTGGCACTCAAGCAGAGTTGTCCCTAGAGCGCACAAGTCTTGCAATCAGCAGACTACGGCGCAACCTGCTGTTGTGGCTGCTGGACAAAGTACTGGAAAGATGCTGGGGCTGTTCCCTGTTGCGCGAACTGTTGTGGCTGCTGGAACGATGTTGGCTCGGCTTTGGACGTGTGAACTGAGAGCGGCGGAAGTGCAGAAGCCCCAACGTTGTTCCCGTGAGCCACATCCGGCTCCACCTGCGGACTACCATTCAAAATCATGGCCATTGCTTCGCCATGCTTGGCTGGAGGCTGCGCCTCCTCCGAGTTCCAGGACGCATTGCTCATAGCGTCGTCGCTTGCAGGCGTAATTGCAGTATTGCTCGACGCCACGCTGGTTGTCGGACTCAGCATGGACGTAACCGGCTTATCAGACGCAGGCGTATACTGAGTCTGAGTCTGAGTCGGCACTGGAGCCGTCTGATGATGATCCTTGAGCATCCCGTCCGCGTCAAAGGGAAAGCGCCCAGCAAATTTCAATAAATATTTCTGGGCGTGAGTACGCGTCTGCACTGCGCTCCGCGTCATGACCACTTGAGCCACACGGCGCCAGTCTTTCCCGTACAGACGGATGCCCTCCAAGAAGGCAGCGTGTTCCTCGCTAGTCCAACGTCCACCTTTCGAGGGGCCCGTAGTAGAAGTACTTGAAGTCGGCGTCGGAGTACCCACTGCCAAGCTTTCCATCTTAACTGTGGGTGTTACTGGGTACGAAGCAGATGCGTCTTGACTGGTATGAGGAGACAGCTTCAAGGTCGAAGGAGCAAGGTGGGATGCACGCACATTGTTGCCCGAGGATTCACCATGCGAGGACGGCGTCTTGGGACGCATAGACGTGTCCTTGTTCGGGTCTGCGATGACGGACTCGCGCTTCATCTTCAAGTTAACAATCTGGTCTCTGTACTTCTCGCGCTCACTGCCGTGTGCACTAAGCATTGCAGCCTCCATAGACGCAATACTCTTGGACAGCGATCGGATCTGACGATGTGGCCACCTCTTGATGCCATTTCGACGGCAGATCTTCTTCATGAGTGTGATGCAGATACCAAAATCTTTTGCCACGTCGATAATGGGTCGGTCGAAATGGGCACGAAGCTCTTCGATGGAGATGTGCTTGGTAACCAAACTTTTGACGCGATTGCTCTCATTCCTGAAGCGATGACTGAAGCCGGCGTCGTCCGTGAAGTCGAGCTTGCTTCCTTTGGGACCATCGAAATTGATTTGCTGCACGCGATGCACCTTACCGACGCCAATCGAAGAGGCTTGACGACGGTGTGAGGCTTCTTCCTCCTCGTCCGAGTCGCCCATGTCTTCTCCGTCGGAATCTGGCGTGCTGGACTGCGCTGTGCTGGAGAAGCCCTTGCTCAAACTCGTGAGGATCATTGCTGTCTCCTCCGGATTGAGTCCCGGAGCGTCCGACTTGGTCTCTTCCGCTTGGCCATCACACGCGCCGTCAGTCTTGGCCAATGGCTCTTCCTGCTCACCGGTCACCGCGCGGCCCTCGGCGTCGCATGCCATGCCCATGCTGCCGCTGCCTCAGCTTGCCTCACTTGGTCGTCGATTGCTACGAGTAGAGAAATCTAGTGCCTCGTCGCAGGTCCACAATGGTGAAAGGCTTCGTGTTTGCTGCATGATACACATGCATGTTATGGTTAGTACTTGAATGTATCCATATGCTCGTCTACATGCTAACTTCAGCTTTGGCTCTTCATCTAGAGGCTAAAAATAGCTCTTGAGGAGGAGCCTGAAGGGGCACAGAGCGCTAATTGGCGCTATTTCTAATCGGTAGCCGCGACTAGTTTAGCAAATGAATAGATATCCTACCTGACTGTGACTCGTTTGGGCTTGTGCGTCGACTGCTGCGCCGACTGCTGTCTGTCTTTTCGTGCTCAGACGGCGGCGGCGGTGCTGCCCCTCTGCGACTCTCTGTGTGTGGCCTTTGGCACCCACCAGTGGATCGACACGAGGTTCGAAATCGTCAATGCGTAGGGGGGGAAAGAAGTAACCCTTAAGTGAGGTATTTTACACTTGCATTTTGTAAAGAGAGAATAATTGTTGATTATGATTGGTCATTTGTAGCGGGAATAAAACAGCGATTTATTCTCGAAGAGAAGTGTTACTTAATGGTTACGTCTGGAACAAAGGAATACTGTGGGGTAGCGTACCAGGGACACTAATGAATGACTGACGGTAGTTAAAATATATACTATCGCATGCGCAAGGGGACTGGAGAATTATTGGTCCTCTTCGCTCGTTAGCTGGAGCGTGGTCATACAAACAAAAGTTAAGCCTCACTTGGCATAATCCGTGTGAGTGACTACGAACAGCTCGCCGCAGGTTCAACGCTTTATGTACATATGTGTATTCATATTCAGCTAGGATTCGGCACATACACCGTTCACCCTAATTGGTCTTGCCACGGTTCTGCCTGACCTCACGTGTTTTGGAATTGGGTTTTCTAGACTTCACGTGCCGTTACTAAAACCGCAAGGTGCAGCGCAACTCGCTTGACGAGGTCTATCAGAATCTGCCTTCTTTTTACAATTTGAGTAAGAAACGAAAGCTCTACCAAGGATTCCCGAGTTAAAGATCTGCTTAAATTCTGCTGCCATTGTCGGAGATTCCAGCCGCAAAGAAGAAGCATTGAAACCCGTAGCTGGAGTTCCTATTAGAATTAGTGCGTGGGGGACACAGTATCCATAGAGGGTCCACACATGCCACCCAGAAAATCGCCGTGAGTGTTATAACTCAGTTCCTGCAGGTCGATTCATGGTGCGTTGATGGGAGATTGGGCATTCCGACTCACCAT